AGTTAAGTAGTTGGGTAAGGTTGGTAAGCTATTTATTTTAGTGTTAGAACACCAGAGTTTAGTTAAGTAGTTGGGGAAGGCTGGTAAGCTATTTATTTTAGTTCTATAACAACAGAGCACTGTTAAGGAGTTGGGTAATGTAGGTAAGCTATTTATTTTAGTATTAGAACAGTCAAGTACCGTTAAGGAGTTGGGTAAGGCTGGTAGGATAGTAATACTAGTATCATTGCAAATGAGTTTAGTTAATTTATAATATCTTTGTAATCCTCCTATGACGTTTAATATGTCATCCTTATTAAGTTTCGTAATCGTTAAACTTTCAATAGCATCATCATAAATAATATTCGAATCTTCGATATATGATTCTAATTCCTCTACATTCTCCTGACCAGCCAAATTATGAATAATTTCGGAATTATTTGATTCATAATTATTCATTTGACATTTTATCTGATCAAATCGAATAATTTGAGATGTTTCTCCAAATGAATTAATTATGCTAGAAGAAGCATTGGTGTTATCTAAACGATGTTGTTGATTTGATGGATTATTTTCTGCTATGTTAATTATTGCATTTAATTTATCAACTACTTGATTCATTGATGGACGATTATTCGGCTCATTATCCCAACAACCTGAAATTGGATAAAAAATTTAATAATCATTTATATTCTTATAAATAAAATTCATAATCATATATTTACCATTGTAAATGTCCACATAATCTTTAGGTGTGCCAGGAATGATCTTTTCTCTAAGACCTACTAAAATTTCGATAGCCAAACTTACGTCGTATTCTTCATCCTCAACGTAAAAGGGAGGATGACCACTTGATATTACCCATAGAAGTACGCCAACACTGTAAACGTCGCTCTTTTCATTTAGTTTAAATGGTGATGATGTGTTGTCAAGTCTTCGTTTGTTAAAAAGTTTTGGGTCTACATAAGGAATTATTCCAAAAGCTTTTGACTGAGTAGTTTCTGCATCAATTCGTTTAGATAATCCAAAGTCGGCTAGTTTAATAACGCCTTGATGAATTAGTATATTTCCGGAATGCTATTGTATGCATATAAAAAAAATTTAGTTATTAAATAGCAATATTCAAAAGAAATTTTATATTATTTAAGATTACCAAATCACGATGCACAATTCCTTCGTTGTGTAAACACGATACAGCACTAGCCAACTGGAATCCTAAGTTATATTTATCTCCCCAAGCTAACTTATCAAAATTACTCTTTAAATATTTTTTAAGCGAACCGCCATCAGCATATTCCATTACTAACCAATATTTTTTCAATTGATCATATTGACTTTCTAATTTTTTTTTTTAAAAAATAAAAAAAATTATATTTAAAAATGAATTAAAAATAAAATGTCAAAAGTTCAATCAAATATATCTCATTATTTAAGATTTTATACCTTGATTGGATGATGTAATTCCCAAAAAGCGAATGATATTGCTATGAAAATCAACTTCCCGTTGAAGTTCAAGCTAAAGTTATTAGAATATAAATTTTAGCTTGACTTGATATACAAAAGGATTTATACTAAATAGACCGAAAAACAATCTTTTATATTGTAATTACCTCTTGAACAAATTTTTCAACATTGGCATTGCTAAGGTTATGAAACAATTTTAACGCAAATTGTTGGTTTGAACTTTTCCAATTTGCACGGTAGACTTTACCAAAGCTGCCTGTACCAACCTCTTGAAAATTACTAAATTGTTTAAATTCGTAGTATTTGATACCATTTATTGAGATAAATTCTTCAATCCAATTAGTCCACTCATTCGAATTATTGGCAGATTGCATGTTGATTTATTAATTTTTGTATAAATAGCGAAATGACTAAAGTTCTTGGAGAAAATGCAAAAAAAAAAAAAAAAAAAATGCATGCGGTAAATCATGTAACGTAAATCAATTTTCTAAGCCACCGGTATTTTTTTTGAACGCTTAATTTTTTCTTACATAAATATATGTTTTATTTGAGAAGGTTTAAACAAATCAATCGATCGCTGCGGCTAGAAGCGATAAAAAAAAAATATTTAAAGAAAAAAATTTAACGATAATAAAAAATAAAAATATCTAATCCTCGCAGCAATATTTGGACAATTGTATATAACGATATTACAATATCCAAATATAAATTGCATACTAATTTTTGAATTTTACATGGTTGTCAAATATTCGTACGTAATATATTGCCACATTTTTGAGATTATTTTCTAGGTCATCCGATGATTCGATAATATGGATTCGTAATTGACATTTGGTAATTGAAAATAGTTGATACGTAAGCAAGCTTTTGAATTAAAGATGATATGAATTCATCCAAATAAAACGATATAGTATGTTATAACCATAACTTTGACTACCATAAATCACTGGCACGTGATAGAAGGGTCGATTTTATCGAATTTTTTTTTTTGGTTTATTTTTTTAAACCAAAGCAATCAATATACGAATTCCAAAATCAAATCCTAAATGCAACTTTACTTTCCTGCAAGTTACTTTGAGAGAAAATGAGGATTTTGAATACCGATTTTTAGTAAGGTTAAATTTTATTAAAACCAATTATCGTGCTCACCAGTATGATGTAGACGGTCTCGTTTTTTAATATTTTTTGTAATATCACAAATAAACTACAAATTAAACTTTTCACATAAAAATATTTTTATACATTTTTTTAATTATTAGCGTTAGAATTATTAAAAATAATTATAGAATTGATAAATAATTTATCAGCAGTCATTTTTGAAACCAATTATTCTAATCCTTGCGGATGATTTTGTTGATCTTGATTTTATTTAATTCTTGAAGAGGTTGCCGAAATAAATCTTTTTATCGTTAGAACTAATTTTTTTTAAAAATAAATTAATTAAATCTTAATTTAATAATAAAAAAAAAAAATATATAATATTAATAAATGACTTTGCTAATGTTAATCTATCTTGCATTGTTGTAGGATAGTTTGAAGATAATAAAGGATATGAAGTTAATAAAGAATATGTTGATGCTATTTGTATAAAATTAATAATTTAATAAATACTAGAAGAATAAAATACACCATACTTGCATCATTATCATTAGCCGCCATTTAAATCGTTTTAAATCCAAATGTTTGAGCGAGTTTCATGTTTCCGGTCGTTCATATCTTGCCAAACCTTGTTCAGATTTGTGTCTTGAACTTGCCATACATTCAGTATTGGCAAACTTTAACCTTTTTAACAGTAAGTGTAATTTTTCATCGTTAAAAATGACAGCTAAATTCACAATCGGTGATAAGAATTTAAGTAATAGTTTCAAAACAAATCCATTTACAATTTATATAAATATTTGACCTTTTGCAATATATTTCAAGGTATGGAATTGCTAAAATCAACGTGATTTGTTAGAAAAAGATATTTATTTGCAATGTAAAAGTTACTAAAAATAATGTCGAAAATTACTTCTCATTCTTCCTTCGAAAAACGGTCCGAAAAATAAAAATAAAAAAATAAAATCGAATAAAACTAAAAAAGAACTCTAACTCTCCAAAAGGCAAACCTTTGCTCAAAGACTTGAATCTACGAAGCGAACGGCAACGATTCATTGCTGAATCCCTAAATAAAAATTAATTTATATAAATTTCATGAAATGGTATAATACTTAATCGGAAATATTATTACTAATTTACATTATAAAAAAATTCTTTCAGTTTACGACCTTGATAGAAAACATTTCATTGGTTCTAACCAAACATTAATATACATACTTTTAACTCTCTTAAAATTCGATATATTATTTTCACGGCCGGAATGGATGCTTGTCATATAAACAAAACTGATTCGGACTGATGATGTCGCCATTGCGAAAAGCTAAGAATTACATATTAGCACAAATTTTTTTTTTTTTTGGTTTTTGCATGAATCAATCACTAATTAAATTCTTGTATCATCAAAATCATTGAAGAGGTATGTTCATTTTCTTTTAAAAAATAAAATAAAGATTAGAAAAAAGAAAATTATTAATCATCAAATCAATGCATTCAGAAGTAATTTACTGTTATAAAATTATAAAGAAGCAAAGCATAAGTATGAAATTATACTGATACTATTTTTCCGTATTGTGTACGGTCATTGTTGGCAATTGAACCAATTGATACTTAGTAAAATGCGCCGCATTGAATTGGATATCTAATTCCCTATGACAAATGGATGTACAATTGGAATGATAATGCTGCCAACACTGATAATAATGTGGTTGGAAGATTTTCTACACGAGAAAGTTAATAAAAAATGAGATTATCGTTTCAATGTATTGGGTTCAAATTTTCATCAAATTCTATTTATTTGCGAAAGGACGAATAGCTGTTCCTTTAATGTCGATATTATAATTCACTCCTTTTTGTTTTTACATTATTTGTAAAATTTTCATTTTAATATTATTGAATATGTAAACTGTTTTCAATTAGATCGTCGATTATTTTAATTAAATTTCTATATTTTTAAAATTAATTATGCTTTGTGTGTTCGAAGATGTTGCCCGATAATACTTTGCTATACAGTGAAATATCAAAAAAAAAAAAAAAAAAAAAAAAAAAGCGATCAGATGATATTGCTTTTTTCAATTCATTTAATCATTATATTAGGTTAGCATAAGTTCAATAAATGAATAAATGAAAACAATGAAAACTAAAAATAAATATGATTTCAACAGACCATTAATAATACCTAGGTAACGGGGACCGTTTGCAAGTCCGGAGCGTTAACCCATTTTAAAATCTCGTGATAAAGTAATTCGTAATAGATCGGCAGTGAAACAAATGCGCGCCAATAAACAAAGAGCGGGACAGACGGACATCTTGTGTCACCGCGCCTAGACTGTGAAGAGTGCTACGTACGCTCCGGACTAATAAAAAAAATTCCTGGTACAAGGCCATGGTAACGGTCCTGGTATCAACATCATATGCAAATTTATGCCGATGCTGATGATCGACATTTATGATATTCCCAAATGTGGTTTAAGGAGCAAAGAAGCAAGGAAGCAAAAATTCACATCGCATCATCATCAGTAAAAATAAGGTATAAAATAGAAATCAAAAACAATTCTCATTCTCCACATTTTGACAATGTTTTTAAATTTTCATTTCATTTTTATTATCACGTTAGTTTTTATTTCAACTCTTGCTTTAATCGGTCAAAGTAAAGATTCATAATATTATTTTTACAATGATGATTTGTTTAAATTTACTCATCATCTTTAAAATCCATTGTCTATCTTTATACTTGTAGGTCGTGAGTATACATTTCCTATTTTTTTTAAAAAAAAAAAATTTATTATTGAAAGAGCACTCGTGTTCCTGCATTCATAGGAGAGCAATAACTAATCCTCAACCCCGGAAAAAGACTCCTGAACAGATTCTTCATGAAAGATATAATGCCCATGTGAAGTCTTATTATTACTATGAATTCGTTAAAAGGTTAACAACTTACAGTAACTTACGTGATTCTACGTGAATCAATGAAACCGAGTTTATGTTAAGATCGGTACCATTTTAAGACTCAGTGACGAAAATACGGATTTATTTCCTCGTGATGCTCTAACCGAGAATCCAAGTAACCCAATTGCTTTTATATTGTTCTGATTCATATTAATGTAAAGAATACCGATATGCTTTTTTCTTAGAAATATGCATCATCGGCGCCGGAATGTCTGGTATATATATATATATTTAAGTTTTTCATATTTAGATAAATCATTTCATCTTGCACACACACCCCATCATTAATCTTGAGCATCTTTTCATCAGGTCTATTCTCAGCTCTTCTCTTGAAAGAGGCTGGAATCAAAGATATCACCATTCTTGAATACCAAGATCGTGTTGGTGGACGTGTTTATACCCACTACTTTACCGATGATCCTGATGATGAAAGACGATTGTATGGGGAACTTGGTGCAATGAGATTACCATATATTGAAGGTCGCCCAGATCTTTCCATCGATCAGATAGTTTTTGATACGATTGAATACCTGAACGAGTACAATAAGGAAGATGACCCGGATAAAGAGATCAAAACCATTCCTTTTATCATTAGTAATCCAAAGTGTGTGATCGACATTTTACCGCTTTTTTTTTTTTTTTTTTTTTTTTTTTTTTAACTAAACACAAAGCTAAACTTTTTTGACGATCAAATAAACATTCTCTAAGTGCTATAAATTATATCAACAACAAAAAAGATCCATCTGGTAAAATCATGACCAAAAATTACTACTATAGTGTAGATGCCAATCAACTAGGATTTCCAGATACAATCCCACCCGATGTTATTAGTATTTGGAGTGAAGCGTTACGGCCTTTCTTTGATGCGTTAAAAGTCGATTTAACAAATGGAATTAAATTATTAAAGCAGTATGACCAATATTCCATCTATTCTTGTCTAAAGGAAGTTTTCCTTCCTGAAAGGTTGCCAACAAGATCGGAGGATTATGATGAAATTATCAGTGCTATTGAATTGCAAGTAACAGGAGGCACAGGTACGAATTTTTTATTAAATTTATAACTTTTTTTTTAATAGTTTATCATCTGTAACCAATTATATTTTCATTATGCATTAATAGGCGTATTTCATTTGAGTTTCGCTGAATTTGTCATCGAATCATTTTCTTTGAAGGTTATGAAGGCAATGAATTTACTTTAAATTGGAAAACTATTACCAATGATCAGGAAGGAAAGGATAGACTTGAGATATAATAGTGAAGTTTACAAGATGGAGAAACAAAAGATGGTAAAAAAGTCAAGGTATATTGGAAATCTAAGGGAAAGAAAGAAGAAGTTGAAGCCTTTGATAGAGTGGTTCTCACCCCTACATTGGGTGTCATCCGTCATTGGGATCTACCAAGTAAGTTATTGTTCATTACATTTTATACCCGGGTTTTCTTTTCGTAAAAATAGAATCTATAATGATAAATAATTTCTTTTGATAGCAATTTCGTATAACAAACGACGTGCAATTCGCGAATTGAATTATATTCCTTCAGTAAAGATATTTCTTCAATTCAAGTCACGCTTCTGGGAAAAAGACGGACAGCCCACGACGTCCGGTCTTGGAATTGTCGGAGGTACCACGACTACAGATCTTCCGATTCGTACAGTGATATCTCCTTCATATTACGTAGGTTTGCCTAAAAATGGATCCGGAGTCCTATTGGCATCCTATAATTTTGAGAATGATGCATTAAGATACGGTCCATACAGCGGGGAGGAACTGTTTGAACTTGCATTAAAGAACATAGTAACCCTTCACGGAGAAATAGCACGTAAAGAATGGATTCCGGGCAAAGAGAATAATTAGGCACAAGTCTGGCAGAATGATAAAACGGTTGTCGGGGGAGACTTTGCAGCGTTTACACCCGGTCAACTAGGAAAATTGATGTCATCTATAATTAGACCGGAAGATTGTATCCATTGGGCTGGGGAGCATGCCGACATACGTCATGGTTTGATTTCTGGAGCCTTAAATTCCGCAGTTAGAGTTATTAAGGAGATATTGGTAGAAAATTTAATCAAGGACCGATGGACGGAACTAAAAAATTCACGATTATTAAAATATTGGAATGGAAACCTTGAAGCTTTTGAAGGTAATTAAAATATACTTTTAAAATTTGGGGATATTATTCATTAACATTTAATAAATAACAATTTTATATTTTCGCAAAATGAAAAAAGTACCAATACATTAAAACCTTTAATTGGTTATTTAACAATGATAATAAATATCGTAAAAACAGGTGAAAGTTCCTTTGTGAAATTTTCTTTTCTGTATTGAGGGTTAACGTGGCAAATTTTGTTACTGCTGATCATATCCATGTGTGACAAGCAATGATAAATGTAAAGCAACTAATTTTTCAGACACATTAGTCTCGTTTTTTATTACATCTCTCTGTGAAAGAATGAACCACATTTATACCTTTGTTCTTGCTTAATAAACTTAAAATCGAACGAGGCATTTTTTTAAATTTACAATGAACGTGTTTATATAGACGCGTCGACAGAGACAGTACTAGTCTTTTTGTTAAATAATTATTTGCACGCATTCTACCTAATTTATCGTATTCATATTTATTTTTTTATTTCGTATCTTTATTTTTTACTCTTCTGTGTAAAGGAAACCTTCTGCTAAACTGTATTTACAATGAACGTCCTTTTTTCCACAACAACAAAAAAAAAAAAAAAAAAGAAAGATATATAATAATCAAATAAAAATATAAAAATAAACTTATTGACAGTTTAATACTTGAACTACACCCTCGTTATAATTCTAATATTAAAACAACAGAAGCGACATTCTAAGTTGAATAAAAAAAATTTTCATAAAATTACAGGTGAATAAAAATTTAACTGTTATCTTGACCACCGTGAATCGGTGGTTTATTTTTTCCGAATCTAGTGGCTTCAACAGTGCTATTTTATGATAATATGATAAGATTCGTCATTATTAATCATTTCAAAAAATCAGTTGATAGTAAAGTTAAAAAAAAAAAAATACTTACTCTTTGTTTACTGGCAAACTATTGACCAAGGTCATGGAATAAAAAATTGTCAAGAAAAATACGATAACCAAGAGACTTTGGGATTTCATTTTTGAAGACGATTATTGAATTATTTTAATTATTTTGAAATCTTTGAAATTATGAGATATTGAGTTTTCTTTTTTTTCTTTGAAAATTCTGATTATTGAACTATTTTAATCGTTTTTTGAAATTTTTGGAGTTATGAGAGATTGAATTTTTATTTTATTATTGTTTCTTTCTCTGAAAATTTTGATCTTACAAAATGGTACGTTTTTATATCTTTGACAAAATTTTCCCGTTTCTTATTGTTGTTCACTATTGGGATTTATCCGGAAATTATCAAAATCCTTGTTCACATAAACAAAAAAAAAGACTTTATATTATGCATCATTCAAATACATTTCGTGCAAGATTAACAAGGGGTTCGTTCATCACAATTCAAAGAAATTTGAAAAGTACCGTCTCACCTTTATCAGCTACTTTGTTCGAATCTATTTCCATCTACGAATCATGCGACTTTAAAAATTCCTTTTGCGCGAGATCAGGTGTTAAAAACAAGGAAAATAATGCAATTAACACATTATTATTTATGGTTTTATTCCCTTAAAGCATCGAAATAATATGTTATAATTTCCTTCTTAGGTCAACAATTCATTTACCGATGAAACAATAAAAGGTTTGTTTAATTGGTACCACGTTAATCCTCAAATACCTCAAATAAGCAAAGATCGTTATTCAATTTAATTTGTGTAACTTTGTCATTTTTTTCAATGAAAAAAAAAAATGAAAAAACAATTGACCTAATTCGTCATGTATACAACAAATTAACGTCATCATTACCGAACCGATAATTAAAAATCCCGGCATCTTTTATTTACATAACACAATTAATTATTAAATTTCGGTGCATTCTACGACGGTGGTAAATATAATAGATTAGATTATGAATGAACGTTTTTATATGTTTCGACACATTAATGACTGAAAATTCTTTAGAAAATTCGCCTAAGATTACTTACTTATATAGTAAATGTTTTTATATGAATAAAAACATGAAATTTCTATTTTAGGGCTGAATTTGCTATTGCTGATGTTCAGCGAAGATATCGGCAAGATGCTTGTAAATAAACTTAACACAAAGTAGAAAAAATTTATTTTCTTTCTTCTTAATTATTGGAAAATATCGAAATATTTCATAAACTGATCGACAAATGAAATAAAGATTTTTTTACTTCCATAATAAAGATAAAAAAAAATAAAAGAAAAAAAGATTAAATTAATGCTGATATTATTGGATAACACAGTAATATGCTGAAAGATTCATTGGAAGGCTTTTAATAGAACTAGGATGGGACAATTTGTATAGCACAGTAATGATGCGAATGTATTTTGCGCATATTTATCTGCATGTTATAATATACTTTTTTTTAATTAAATAATCGGCGCCCTATACTTTATAATACATTATCATACAAACATAATGATTTCTATTTAAGTAAAACTTTTTCTAAAAACTTTCCAAACATGAAAGAATAAATTTTTATTCGATTAATTTCATTGACTTCGCATCACAATTTGACACATCGGCTTCATAAAAAAAATAAAAAGAAGCGACAAAAAAATTTTGAGTTCAATAAATTTGAACCCCCCCCCCCCCTTTTCCTTTAAATTTCACAATATAGAGGTATGTAAGTTTATTAGCAATTGGGCCTGTAATTGAATTAGAATCGATTCTAACAAAATCGAATTACTCGAAATCTATTCTATTTTTTTAATGATGCAGCATTTTTTTTTTTTAATAAAACTAGGAAGGTCTGAGTTGTATTTCAAAGTTCTAGTTGTCTAATACTTTTGGAAATGATCCAAGCATGGGAAACTAAAGAAAAAAAAATGGATAAAATGATTGATTTCTGTGGCCTAAAAATAATCGAACGTGAAATATTAAGAAGGAAAAAAAAGAATATCAAAATAAAAAGGGAACATTAGTCTTATCTAATAATTGCAAAGACGATTCAAGTTGAAAGCGGAAGTAAAATGCGATAATCTGAAAATAAACAATTAATTTTGTGATTTGGAGGATTTAGCCGGGTTTTTAGGCAGAAGTTTATAATAAATACAAATTATAATTAAATAATATTAATTGAGGTGTATTAACAAACATCATAGCCAGCTGCCGCAAAATTTTTTTAAAGTACAACAGTGATATTAACCTTGGACCTTAGAAATTTGTAGTGCAAAAATTATAAATTTAATGGGTTAAATATTACTTTTATTTAATAACTTAGAATGCATTATAATTAACAAAAATTAGCAATAATTTGATCATTACATAATCGTTTTGGAAGTTGCAGAACTTAGGATAAACTCTAAAATTTTTTAGTAACTATTTAGGAAGATTTTGATAAATATTCTACTTAATATTATTAGAACATTTTAATCTAAGCTAATTAACTTATCATCATGTTATATTTTGTTTGAAGATAATCATATTCCGATCCCGTAAGGTAAGAAAAGGCACAAGTTTTTTTTTGGTGAAATCGTTGGCCCTATAAGCGAAGAAATGTGAAAAGATTCAGTGAACATTTATATCCTATCCAGTAAAGTACATTTTTAAAGTTTTATAACTTAGCATCTTCGAAAGGAAAAATTTAAATGCCTCACAAGATAAAGTATAGAAGTGAGAACAATTAATTTTATTCTCCATAACCAGGTTAGAATATTCGGGTCCGGTTCATTTCACCGAAAAACGATTTACCGACCATTATTTTACCGACAAACACTTCACCGACAGGATCATTTCACTGACAAACGTTTCACCGCCATTATCATTTCATCGACACGATCATTTCGTCGACAGTTTATTTATTTTTTTTTTTTTTATTAAATTTTACATTATAAATTAATCATAAATAGAAAAATAAATAAATAAAACTTCACATTTAAAAGTTTATAATAATAAAAAAAAAAGGAATTTCCTAATTCAACGGTCATATGTTATTTATAGTCATTTTATTATCAATGTTACATAATTAATAAATAAATAAATAAAATATTTCGGAATAATAATCAAATTTATTAAAATATAAATTATAGCATTTATTGTAATTTTTAAACTTACAAAATATGCATGTTTTTTGAAATGTCGGTGAAATGATCATCGGTAGAACGTTTGTCGGCGAAATGAACATGTCGGCGAAATGATTGTGTCGGTGAAATAATCGTCGGTGAAACGTTTGTCGGTGAAATGATTCTGTCTGTGAAAAGTTTGTCGGTGAAATAATGGTCGGTAAATCGTTTGAATGCGGCCCGAATATTCGTATAAAGCAGCATAAATTATATGCTATAATAACGCCTGTGGAAGCAACAATATCTTTAAATGTAAGAATCAGTTATATTTTTTGAAATTTTATTTTAAGAAGACTCAAAGCAAATCATCATTAACATTAATTAAATTCTATTAGAATAATAGATATGTATGTTTAACGATCATATTATAGGGTCAAAATTTTCAGAATATTGACTTCATTATCACTTTAAAAATAATATTCTAAATTTAATAATTATGTGTCTTTGACATAAGACGTGAATAGAAGAATTGACGATCAATCTCGTGCTTTATTTTTTATTTTTATTTTTTTAACTATAAAATGTTATCGATTTAATTTTTATTGTACTAGCAAACCAAGTAACTCTTTCAATCAAGCCAAAAAGTTAATGGTATTTTATAAATTATATTTTTTCATAGTCAAATAAGTTACTAAAAAAACAAGAATAAGGGATGTAAAAGAAACATAATGGACGCAGATCAGTTTATGCTTTCATTACTCAACTCACAAACTCTATTGATCAACTCATTCAGGAAGTCCAAAATAGACCTCAATAGCGACCACCTGCAAGAGAAACCAATTTAGTTCCAATAAAAAGTTTCTCAGCAAAAAGTGAAGAAGACTCATCTGATTGGATTGCTCACTTTACATAACACATTTTTAATCGACATTTCTTTATTTTGTACAAAATACAGAAAATTTTCATAAGCTATATAATTTTAAGAGTTTGACAAAATGCATACATGAAAATCAAGGAATATGAAAATATTAATTTTCCTGAAAAAGAAATTACTTGTAATATTTACATAGTTTATACATTAAGAAAAGTTAAATGACATAATCAGTTAATCAAAAGTTAATTTTAGATTTGTATTCAACAATTTTATCATAGTAGATTTCTTAAATAATAGATTTTAATAAACTTTCTTGATATAGAAAAAGATTAAGTATATTATGAATGAAAATCAGATCAGTATAATCAAGCTACTAAATATATAATTTTATTTATAAAATGATCAATAAAATATACAACTCAGCTACAATTACAAGTCTAATTTAGCGAACCACTAGCAAAATAAAATTTCAAAAAAAAGATTAAGTAAAAATATATATCCTAACCACCACTCAGACCACTCAACTGAAGTTAATACCTGACCTTCCTACAAGTCTTTGTAAAACAACTACTGTTTCTAAAATGCCTCTTTTTGACAAAAGTTTTCAGCTTCTAGCATATTTATTCTTTATTATAATGGTTCTTCATGAATATTTTGATCTGCTATTAAATATACTAGCTTATCAGCCATAAGCAGCCTTTTACTTTCTTCTTCTTATGCTTAAGTTTGCAAGGTTATAAACTGTTTGTAAACTTTATTTCTTTGATGTGAACAGAAAGTTTTTATATATTCGACTTTCTTTTGAATATCATTTTGTGAATGATTATTAGAAGGTATTATTTTTTTTTAAAAGTAGAATTTTATTGAGAAAATTTTTAGACTTTGAATAATTTAATCAGTACATGTAAAAGTCATATTTAAGAAAAATAATTTATCACGTAACTACAATTAAAAATCATTTAAAATTGAACTATTTATATAGAATTTTGAGTCCCATAAGTCTGAAAGTTAATAAATTTTAGCCCTATATAATATTAGAAAAACTTATGTTATTAAGGTTGATTGCAGATAGTATGAATACAGCATGCTTTCTCTAATAGGTTACGCGTGAATATGATGTACATTCTGTAAAATTTTTTTTGCAAATTTTTAGAAATCCAAAATTTGATTTTGAGAACTTGGTTGACGAAGCTTATGAAATTTTTGTAGAAGCTGCAAATTTAGAGAATGAAATTAATACTATATGAAGTCAATCTTACTATGCTACAAAGATTGATGAATGATTAACGTTATTAACATCATTAGCATTTTTAACATTTTTAATTTATTTATTTTATTCTTATATTTTATTAACATTATTTATTATATTATTATCATTATTAAATTATAAATTATCTTTTATATGGTGCATAACATTTATAGTCATCAAAAATTTGGCATAAATTCTAAATGTATCTAGTTATTTATTTTATTAATTATTAAAAAAATAAGCTGATTTTTATATAGATTAAGTTATGCTCTTTCAGAAAATCTGCTTATATTTTAGATTAAAATATAATTTTAAAAGTTATCAGAATTTTAAAATCAGATATATTACTAATATTGGCCAAATTTCAAACTAACTTTGTAGGGTATTTACATAGATATGTAGCTATTTAACCAATAAAAACGTGTAATTTTTATCATGTAATAAAGTAATTTCTTCACGTAATCATATTAAAATTTTATAAAACATATTATATAAATTGGAAGTTATTAAATTGAACATTAAAAACTGCATATGATTTGTATTAAAACATTATTTGAATGCATTCAATCGCTATTTTTGTATTTAAATTTAAAAAAATGCCACCTTTTTTTAAACAAAAAAGAAAGTCAAAAGATCAGCCATGCACAAAAAATAGTAAATATTATACTAAAAGAACATAATATATAAGCATGAATGTTATAATTTACTGGAAATCCCAATGTCAGTTAATGATAATTGTATAAATGTAAAAGATTTTAAAACTGAAATAAGTAGTGTAGTTTACGAAATATTGATAGTAGTAATGAATATATCAATTTTGATTTTGAATTTCTTAATGAAAAATGGGATAATAACAAAGATAGCAATTGGAATAAAACTGAGGATTTACAAAGTTAAAGGAAGCTAAATTAGTTTGAAAAGAAAATAATCAATTTGAAAAAATAAAGCATAGAATATATATGAAAGGAAAGATTTCAAAATCAATCCATTATGATAAATAAGAATCAAATAGCTTATTTACTAAAGCAGCTGTTAGTATTAAAAAAATTACAAATTTTTTTACGGTTAGAGATAATGCTTAAGATAAAGCCCAAGATCTAAAATTAGAAAATACAGAATCAGATTTGAGTGATTCAGATAATGAAATATATTGCCATACTTATCAAATTAATAAAAGAATCCAGTTTTTAAAAGAACAATTAGAAAAGTAACATAATAAAATGACAGTCATTGAATATAATCAGAAAAGAGCTATTTTTAAATATCTTATTTATTTAGATAATAATAGATGTGGAAAAATGCATGCTAATTTAGAGGTGGCTAAAATAGTTTTTGTTGATGATAGTTCATAGAAAGCATGACATATTCAATATTTTGCAAAATATTAGCAAACTAATAATGAACTTCCAATATCTAAATAGGAAAAACATCAAAAAATTATTAGAATAATTAATGATGAAGATATAGCTGAAAGATGCTGAGTTTGGATTCGTAAACAAAATTATAATATTACTCTAGCTTTATTTAAGAAATTTGTTAAATAAGAACTATTACCTAGTATTAATATTATAAAAAAACTATTATCTTGATGACAGCAGTAAGGTGGCTTAATATCCTTGGTTACTCATTTCAACAACATCATCAAGGTATATATTATGATAGACATGAATAAGATGATGTTATACAATATCATAAAAAATTTCTAGAGAAAATGTTTGAGCATGAGAAATATATGTCTAAGTATGAAGGAGAAATGATGGGTTGTATATATTCTAACTTATCTGAAGAAGAGAAGGAATGAATTCTTGTAACTCATGATGAATGCATCTTTTATTCTAATGGTAGTAAATATGAAATATAAACTAAAAATAGAGAGTTGCTCTATGAAAAAAAGGAAATAGAAGGTTTATTATGGTTAGTGAATTTCTAATTGAAATTGATGATGTTTACGCATATAACCAGATGATATAGAAAAATATCCAAATGTATCTAAGAAAGCCTAATGTTATCTCAAACCTGGTAAAAATCAAGAAGAATATTAGACTGCTAAACATCTTCTTGAACAAATTAAACATAAAGCAATACTCATTTTTGAAACTTTGTATTCAAGTTGTATTGCAGTATTTGCTTTTGATAATAGTTCTAATCATGCTATATTTAGTAAAAATGCTTTAGTTATAAGTAAAATGAATTTAAAGCCAGGTGATAAACAACCAATTGTGTATAACACTTACTTTGGACCAGATTGCCAGCCACAATCAATAGTATTTCTAGCTACACATCCTGATAAAAAACTTCAAAATCAGCTTAAAAGAATTAAGCAGATATTAATATAACGAGAAAAAAGGCCATCCAAAAGATTAATATTAAAATGTAAGGGTTGTAAAGAAAGGATTCAAGATGCTTCAAGAATTTCTTGTTGTGCTCGTTGGATGATATCTTTAGAACCTGATTTTCTTGCACAATAAAGAACAATTGGAGAATTAATTACGGAGGCTAAACATAAATACATTTTTTATCTAAAATTTTACTGCAAGTTGAACTTTATTAAAAAGTATTGGGGAGCTTCTAAAAAATATGCATAAGAAAATTGTGACTATTCTTGGAGTGGATTACAAAAAATTATACCTGAAAGTCTTAACTCAGTGTCTTTAATTATGATTAGAAAATTTGTAAGGAAATGTTAGCGTTATATGGATAGTTACAGAAAAGGGATTAGTGGAAAATTAGCAGAATATGCCATTAAAAAATACAAATCCCATAGAAGAATTCCAGGCACTATTTTTGAAGAATTAAAGAATTAATTTATAAATTTTTGTTGTATTTCTTAATAAAAAGTTTTTTTATACTGTTCTTTTTTTCAGAATTCCTTTTTTGACTTGATAGTTTACTTATGGATAGTATTTATTTTTTATTTCATAAAGGTTAAAGTTGATTTTGATTCTATCTACAACTAATAAGATTTGATTCATATGGGAGTGTTTCTAGGAAAATCAGGTTCCGGGAAATTTTTGACTAAAATTAAGAGCTTAATACATTTTAATCTAATTACATCAAAAACTAAAATGCAATAAAAATCTCAATTTTGCTAAAAAATTCCTGGAACCTGATTTTCCTAGCAATCTACCCATATGATAATATCATGTAAGTACTAACCAATAATATTTGATTTACATGATTATGTCACGTGATAGTTGTCAATCAAAATTTCAAACTATTTGATGACTATAGATGTTATGCACTATATCTATCTTATCATTATAAAATAGTTTGTGTTAGATAGTAATTTCTTATAATTGTATTTTTGT